GGGGGGGGGGGGGCAGGTATCTCTTCGAGGCCCTGATTTCAGTTCTTTAGGGTGCACACTGCACCCTCCCGGGCAGGGCTCTCCTCATGACAACAGGGTTTATTAGCAGCTCTGGGCTTATATTTACAGCAGGAACAGACTGCCTTCCCCTGTGGTTCCAGCAAGTATCCCAGGATGGGCTCCCCTGGCTCCCTCAGGGCACCTGCCCAGCCCAGTTCCAGTGACCAGGCCACCTGAGCATGTGCGAAGGCAGCCTCCACACAGGGCACATGAACCCACAGGCTGGGGAGAGGTGCTCCCCCAGAGGCAGTCGGGTGCTGTCACTAAGAGGAGGAAGGTTTGCCCTGGCTGACTGGCTGGGGAAGCAGCCTTGGTGGTCTGAGAGGTGGTCCTTACGGGACAGGGTGGGTGTGCTCCTGCCCCGGAATGCCAGCGATACTGAGTGGAAAACGGAGCCGTGTCAGGTACAAAGGAGGCCAGGGATCGGATCAGGGTGTGGTGGGGAGAGAGGCTGCAGAAATAATTTTTGTGGATCTTGGAGTGAACTGAGCCCAGCTCACCGTGGGGAAAGAGGGAGCCGAGGAGACACCCTTGGCTTTCCAGGTGATGGCAGAACCTCTGCCTATAACTGGATACGCCCAAGGCGTGGGGATCAGAGGGCTAGCAGTGCAGCCGGCCCCCCGAGGAAGCACGGAGGAGTGAGTTCTCTGTGTCTTCATGGCGCCTCCAAGCCCCGCCTGTGGCTGCTGACCTCTGGAAAGCCTTGACCCCAGTGAGGAGGAACTGGAGATGCTTGTCAGTGACCACAGGCACCCCACAGCGCAGGAGGTGCCCAGGTGCCCTAGCTGGGACATGGGTGTGGAAAAGGCGAATCCTCAGATACTTCCACACAAGGTTTCTGGGCCCGCTCCCCCTGCACTGCAGTCCTGTGGCTCTGTTTCTGCTCAACGCTTCCTCCCTGCGGAGAATTGGGGCGGCATTTTGATTCAGTGTTGGGGAGAAGTCTGCAGTAGAAAGGATTCGAGCTGGGGCCGACTCCTCACTGCCCCCCTTCCATCTCATCCGTTATCCACTCAGTATTTCAGTTAATCATTCATTCATCTGTTCCACAAATACCTGTCTGTATGGCCACAGGGAGGTCAGCTGGGATATGCCGTTCCCTTCCCTTATCACTGACAGGCGTTCCCGGCTGTCATTGAATGAACCAACCTCATTTCCTAATGGGTTCCAGCCCAGATTCTTTGTGATAATTTGGGGGAGAGCCCGAGCCAGGTCAGTCCCCGAGGGCCGTGGCCAGAAAGCCCCCCCATGCATGACTCACATGGCCCAGTCCGCTGTGGTCAGCTCCACCAGCTCCCCGAGCGCTTCGCCCAAGTCCAGAGATACTTTGGGCCTTGGATCACAGGGTTTGGCTGGGTCGAGGTCTGGGCACAGAGAGCCGTTGTTCACAAGAGCAGGCCACCAGGGAGCCGGTCCAGCCAGCTCTGCTCATCACATTAAGGAACGAGTGTGCCCGGGAAAGAGCTGATGGTTGTCACCATTCAGTCCCAGCCCACCCGAGGCAGCTGGTCTCTACCTAACACTTAGCACAAGGGCCCAAGGACACTTGTCCTGAGCTCAGCCGTGCCACTGAGTCCTTCAGTAGAAGAATGTCGGGCAGGTGACCGATCCCGTCGGGGTCCTATGAACTGTGCTGTTCCCCCCTGTGGTATCAGTGCTGGAAAAAGATGATCTGTTCCCACTCTACAGTCACGACAGTAACTTCATGAAAACTGTACTTGCAGGTCCATAGCTTATTTCCCTTGGAGTGCCCGAGCGCAGCCTTTGGGCTGATGCCAGAAGCTGGGAGCCCAAGTCACTCAGCAGTCCATTTCTTGCCATATTAGGTAACAGGTCAACATGGCCAAAAAAAAAAAAAAGCTGATTTTATCTGAGTCAACTATTATAACATTGTTATTGGGTTTCTGCTGTTTGAAATATAAATAAAGTGTTTAGTGGCAAGAAAAGCATGTTTATGTGATTTAGGCCCCTTGGAAATGGCGCGATCATGTAGTAAATACTTAGGCATGAGAAAGACCGTGTAGTGTGGGGCTCGGTGAGAGCGTGTGAGAGTGAAACCCGAGCGTCGAGGGCTCGTTATTTTCCGTATCTTCCCTGTGACTTTTCTGCTGGAAACCGCAGCCTACATAGATCTTGTTGTTATTCCAGATGTTTCTCTGGCGCCCGTTCAGATCCCGTGGAAATATTTAGACAACCTGCCTTGTTTTGCCTCGCTCCACGCATAGCACGCTCGTGCCGCCGAGTGGTGTATGTTCTTCTCTCGTGGTTTATGTTGAAAGATATTTCATGAATGTGGACAGATTTCCAGCCCC